GCAGTGTTTGAAGATGTAGATTCTCAGGAGGCAACAGTACTGTTGACTTCTCCCTCCACTGGACACCAGCTAACTATTTAAGTTGATTTGCATACAAAGCAGAGCTTGCAACATGATAGCTATTCATAAAGGGTGTTTTTTTTACTTTTCATATAATACAGTAGTCACACAATGAGGCAGTTCATATTTGTCTCAGTGAATCATTAATTTTTGACAGACACCTGTACAAAATACTTGGACTAAAGCCAGCTAAAATTTTCTGTTATCTTGCATGTTTTATGAATCTATTCACATCTAAATGCAGCACTTTTTTTTTTCAATGAGACATTTGTTTTTATACTAAAATATCTGAATTACTTTGAAGAAAGCTGGAAATTATGTCCTTAAAATAATTAAACAAATAAGGCACCAATGTTTTTGTAAGATATTTACATCTTTTAAGGACATTCGGTAGACTGATTCCCCACTGTTGGTTCAACCCCAAAACTTGTTTGTATTCAAAATTAATTATGACAATGCATATTTATATTGAAACAAACTATGATAAAGGAAATTATATTATATAACAAAGGGCAAGGTCACCAGGGTTCAACTATGTTTTAGCTCTGCTGTCGACTTTGTCAGGCAGAGCTATCATATGAGTGATTGTCTGCTGTCTTTGTCAACTCTTTACTTTTTTGACTTCTTGAAAACTACAAGTCTGATTGCTTTGATACTATACATATAGATACCTCAGGTAGAACTGATGATATTTTTCATTCTCTAATTTTGATGAATATTTTTGGTAAAAAGTGATATTTTTGACTTCATAAAAAACCGCTAGTCTGATTGCTTTGACATACAATACATACAATTACTACAGGTGGTTCTCTCTCTGATTTGTTCCTTTTTAGTCCCCGTTCGGACACAGTCCGAAAACGGGGACTTATGTTTTGCCCTGTGTGCGTCCGTGCATCCGTGCGTCTGTGATCACCTGTATCTCAAACATGCATGGGCCGATTAAGTTCAAACTTCACTCATACATTACACATTATATGGGAGATATGCACATGCATTTTTTTCATGATCCGATTAACAATAGCCGAATAGCGGCCATTTTAAGGCCGAAAATGCATCAAAATCGCACATTTTCACCATTCCAGACCCGGATCTCAGTTATGCATGGACGGATTTTGTTCAAATTTGGTACATACATTAAACATAATGGGACCTTGATGCACGTCATTTTTTTTTGGATTAGGTTGAAATGGCCAACTGGCGGCCATTTTGTTTTAAAGAATTCAGTTCTGGATCCGTATCTGAGACATGCCTGAATTGATCGAGTTCAAACTTCACACACACAAGGTACATCATGTCACAAATATGAATGATGGCCATTTTAAGGTCGAAAATGCATCAAAATCACGTATTTTCACAATTCCGGAACTGGATCTCAGTCATGCATGGATGGATTTTGTTCAAATTTAGTACAATGTGTTGTACATATTTGGGTGCATTTCGGATCAGATCACTGAAAGTGGTCTGAGATTTTGGTGTATATGTCACTCAAATATGAACGGAACGGGGACGTGTCATTGACAATGACTTGTTCTCATGATATCTTCAGTTCTTTATTTGAAATGTTAACAGCAGAGCTATCTCAGCCGAGAGGTTGCTTGTTTAAGAATTAATCATCACATTATAATGAAAGTTAGTACATGTGTGCCCTGGAATAATAAACAGAGCTAATTAGTTTGGGATTGAAATCTATGCATAATAATTGCTTAATTTGCTAATAATTGCTAAATTTTCTACCTATATCTCAAAAACCAATTATTGCATTTCAATAAAACTTGGTATATAAGTGCCTGGGAAGAATGCTAAAGACTTGATTACTTTTGGTTTGAAATTTGTGCATACTAATTGCCCAATTTGCATAATGTGTTCTGGAGTAATCCACAGACATGATTAGTTTAATATTGAACACTTGCATGTTGATTATTTAATTATATTATTAGCCGATTTCTAATACACAGATGTAAAATCGTATTTATTTTCTGTAAGTATTATAAACTTCAATAATGTGGATTGTCATTTTAATCCAGAATGTAAATTTGTTGTGAGAATAGGCTTAACTGGAAGTGTCCCTTTAACAACTGTTTTTTCAAATGGATTACAATTCTGTACAAGAATACTGTTTGTGTAGTTGTATATTTCTGTGCATTTTAATTAGCTAATTTGCATACCATCAGCCGCTATCAGCTGGTAGAATAAATTCAGAAAACTACACAAATTGACTCCATTTATAAACAATTAATGGTTATACTGGAAGCACTGCACAGCTCAACATAGTAGGGGACGTGACCTATTCAGAATTTGTCAAGAACCAACCACAAGACAGCTTACAACTCTGTTAGCCTCACTCAACTGGTTAGTAACCAATCCTGAGATTGGTTCTTGACAAAGATATTTAATGTACTTTTTACAGATTGAAACACTTTTGAGCATCTTTCCATTGCTGTTGACATTGATTCAAAATCATATGACATCTAGTTCATAATTTTAATGTCCATTGTCTTTGGATTTCTTTTGATACTTAGTACGCAAAAGTTAGAAACATTTCTAGGTATTATTGTCAGAGCTGGTTAACCTCTTTTAGCTTTTTTGGAATCACTTATAATTTACAAAGTACACTGTAGCCTCGCTATAACGAACTCTTTGGGGGACATACAATTAGTTTGTTATAGTGAAATGTTCACTATAATGAAGTACATAATACATTGGGTTTGTTGTGAGCGGGAGACACGCTATGTGTTCATTATATCAGGAAGTTCATTATAACGGTGTTCATTATACTGAGGTTACAGTGTACTTCATTTTTCATGAACAGTCAAATTTGAGCAGTTCTGATCGGAACCCCACTATATATGGATATCAAATTACATGACTAAACACAAATGCCATGGCAATATGAATGATTCTGGTTAACTCTGCAGTATCAAATTCTCTTTTGATGGAATGGTTTCCTGCTGTTACTCTTGTACTTTAAGCCTACCATTAAATTTTAAATATTGAATATTATTCACTATTGAACACTGAAAAACTGACAATGTAGACTTCCAGTTAATTTATTAATGAGCTATAAAATTGCTGCATAATGTATTTTTTGTTGAAATATTGCATTAGTGTGAGTGTTTTATTTAAAAAGGTGTATTATTGACAGGAAGTGAAAGGAGTCTGTGCAACATTAAGAGGTGGAACTAATTGATGGTTAATGAAGCTTGAAATACAGTGTCAACAGTAATTGTAACTTTGTATCAATATAATAGAACATTGATACTCTTAAACTGTTTTCAAGTACCCACCAGATGCAGGTGAAGTCATGCTTGAGATCAGGGCTGGCCCAACTATGAAAGTGGGAAGATATGTATGTAGTAGATTAGAGTTATACCAAATGTATTTTGAATCATATTGTATTGAATGCATAGGTGATGATGATGAATCGTGTAAGAAACCCAATGTATGCATGTGCTGGGAACGCCAAACACATGAGAAAATTTGTCTGTACCCACAGAGGATAGAATAACTGAGTAACCATTGTGAACATGAGGCTAGTTATCCAATCCGGGGTATCCAACTCCATCACAGTATGAATGAAACTACTTTGGCTCAAATAACTTAAATTCTGCCATGTACATAAAAGTTCAAATCGCTTTTGAGAGTAAATACATCACAGATTGGTCGACTCACACCCTTTATGATCATGTTTCTTATGTTCAGTCAGGTCTAGTAGATGCTGTTTTGTTTCTGTAATTGTACTTATAGCTGTGGAAATTTTCTAACATTCGTAATCTGACAAATCGATGGAACAACTTGGAATATACATAGAATACATTTCATAATTGAGTCTATTGAGGATGGTGGGTACATAGAGTGGGTGCCTCTTGAGAGCGCGGTAAACAATAATGCCCAAAACTTAGAGTACATACATGCCACAACACAAGGTTCATCAGTTTCTCTGAGAGTTGTATGTGCAGATGGTGCCCACAATTCTTGATCAGAAAGAAAAGAAAATAGTAGTCATATA